CTTCAGCTCAAGGCTAGCACTCTACCACTTGAGCCACAGCGCCACTTCTGGCTTTTTCTGCTTATGTGGTGCTGAGGACTCGAACCCAGGGCCTCATGCATGCAAGGCAAGCACTCTACCACTGAGCCACCTTCCCAGCCCTCTTTCTAGTATTCTTAAATTTAGCACCTGTCTTGGTGGCCTGGCCAGTGGCTTTAGCAAGGAACTATGTTTGTGTTTCTACAGCCCATATCCTACTCTACATTAGAGAAAATAGTTGATTAGTTACTTCGATATGTGTAAATAAGAGAAAACGTTTTGTTTTCCAGTCTTGGGAAGAGAAAGCATTTTAAAAACACCTATTTTTCTTTTGTGGATATTGGGCCAAGTTTAATCTTTGTATGTGCTTTATATTACATATTTGTGCACAGAAGCATGTTAGCTAAAGACAGTGATGAATAGTTGAGTAACTAAAGTTAAAAACCCACTCATTTCTTTGCCAGGGAATAACAAATACATTTACAAATTAAGATTCCTTTTTGCTGCTGCATTAGAAGTCTTTTTGAAGGGCTCTGAACAGATAGCAGAAATCCATCTTGGACTAGCTTAGGCAAAGAAAAGGAGAAATGAAAGAATAGACAGTATATTGGAGATTCCTATTGGATCTATAAGCCAGGAGCAATTTGGGAATGGGCTGGAGACAAAGACTGAGGCCCTGAGGGAGATCCTTTCTCTATTAGTTTTCCCTGCCTCTTTGAACATCAGCTCTATTTGTGGATTGACTGAGACTACTTTCTCTTCTTAACTCTATAGTGGAATATGGTCATCAGTACCACTCAATAGCCAGACATAGAGCAATTCATTTCTGTCTTCTAGCCTTCAGACTTTTACAGGAAAGAGCTAATTGGCCAAGCTTGGGTCATGTGTCTAATCCCTGGATTGGCTACAGCCAATAGGATGAAGAACATTTTGTTTGTGTGTATGTGTGTATGTTCGTGTGGAAAGTAGTTGGGGGGAAGGGGGCTCCACAAAAACCAGGTAAACAATGAAGAAGAATTGTAATGCCCTCAAAGAGATAGCACTCTGTCAGATTCGCATGACATAAAGCATGTTTATAAAGACAATTATGATAGAAATATTAGTATTTCATCTGAATTCCTTATATTTCTTATTGGTTATGCTTGCTTAGCATCTCCACTTACGCTGGCTGTAATCCAGGTGTCAGGTTTTACTTAAAGTAATAAATTTAATATTAAAATGCATGCATAATGCCCTGTTTAATGAGTTCTAATTGTTATGCCCTGCTGTGAATGTTGATGAATACGTAAGACAAAAATACACTTAATTCGTCTATTGTTTAAAAATCCAAGAACCTCATTTGACTGCTGTTAAAATAACCGTTTTTGTATTTTGTCTTAGCTAAATAAAGAAAATAAGACACTAAAAAGAATCAGCATGTTATACATGGCCAAGCTGGGACCAGACGTAATAACGGAGGAGATAAATATCGATGAGGAGGATTCAGCCACCGACACAGAAGGTGCAGCTGAGATGTGTGTCTCAGTCCAGTGTCAGAAGCAAATCAAAGGTGAGATTCTACACTTCACTCCTGAGAACTTTCTTGAGGCCCATTACCATAATACTTCTTGCTTCGACTGTACATGAGAACTTTAAACACTATAGTGTCTGACTCTTACTGTCCCGCAATTCTGATTTACCTGAGGCCTGGGATGTGTATGTGTGTGTGTGGTGGGGGGGTCCTAACTAAGAATCATGACAGCGTATAACATTTGTGAGTTGCTTTCTTTTTAGAATTAGGTACTTCTGAAGGTGTTGTCTGGATAGAAGTAGTTATTTACCACATCCTTAAGAGTAAACCATGTGCCAACCTATTTTTATTATGTGAAAGAAACTATGGATAAAAATACATGTAGTAGGGCTGGGAAGGTGGCTCAGTGGTAGAGTGCTTGCCTTGTATATATGAGGCCCTGGGTTCAATTCCTCAGCACCACATAAGCAGAAAAAGCCAGAAGTGGCACTGTGGCTCAATTGGTAGAGTGCTAGCCTTGAGCTGAAGAACTGAGGGACAGTGCACAGACCCAGAGTTCAGACCACATGACCAGCAAAAATAAATAAAGTACACATAGTAAAGCCAGGTGCTGGTAGATCATGCTTGTAATCTTGGCTACTCTAGAGGCTGAGATCTGAGGATTGCAGTTTGAAGTCAGCCCAGGGCAGGAAAGGCCCTGGAACTCTTATGTCCAATTAACCACCAAAAAACTGGAAGTGATCATCTGACTCAAAATGAGAGAGCTCTAGCCTTGAGCAGAAATGTTCTGGGACAGTGAGTGCTCAGGCCTTGAGTTCAGGCCCCATGACCAAAGGGGAAAAAAAAAAACTAAAGTCACATAGTTGATCTGGACATTGTTGGTTGACACGTGTAATCCTAGCTATTCAAGAGACTGATCTGAGGACCATGATTTGAAGGCAGCCTGGCTAGAAAACTTCAGTTGCCTTGGGCAAAAAAGCTCACTGAGAACTTGGTAGCCTGAGGTCTTGAGTTCAGGCTGTGCACTCGCACGCACACGCGCACGCACACACACACACACACACAAATGTCTCTATAGCTCAAAGTGTAGTTCAGTGATACACATCAAACTCAGCATTCATAAGACAGCTCCTGAACAATGTGCGCACATGTTCATGGGTGTGTAACCAATATGCCTTTCTTTTTTTTGGGGGGGGGTCTTAACTCTGGGCCTGGGCACTGTCCCTAGCTCAAGTGGTAGAGCACTAGCCTTGAGCTGAAGACCTGAGGGACAGCACCCAGGCCTAGAGTTCAGGTACCACAACTGACCACAAAAAAAAAAAAAAGAGTCTCATGTACTTTCTTGCCCTGGCTGGCTTTGAACCATGATCCTCAGATCCTAGCCTCCTGAGAGGTAGGATTACAGGCGTGAGCCATTGGTGCCCAGCCTCAATATGCCTTTTATGTTGTTTTGGTCTCTTCCTTCCAAGACAACTCTCATTCAGTTAATGAGCTAAAAGCAATATTCAGTAGTAGACAAGCACCACATGGTTGCTCTAAGAAAAGATTACATGTTCCATCTTTATTAATTGTACACAGATTTTATTTCTACACGTATAGACACTTGGCTTATGTTGAAAGAAAACCAGTTCTTGTTAAATAATTATTGGATTGTTTAACTTAGAACACATCCAAGAGCAGTGTTTCTTTCTTGGAAGATAAAACTTCAGATGGAAGTGATTTTACTTGATTCTTCAGTCCCTTAAGCTAAGACAAAATAGAATTTGTTCTGGCATTCAAGTATTTTCTTGTTCATTGTTCGATCTTGAACAATGGGGTCTCATGTTCTTCCTTTTGGAATGAGCCAGCCAGTGGAGAAAGTGATTTAGAACTGAATTTCAAAACTTCTTCAAGCTGGGCTCATGTAAAAAATTTAATTCAGTTTATAAATAGCCACATAGCAGGTTTTCTTACTGCCCTTGGAGAAAGGTAGGAAATTAAAAGCCATTAAAAATGAAGTGACAAAACCCTAGTCCTAGGTGTAAACTTAAGTTGTCTGTGTTAATCTGGATATTTTTAAACATTTCAGTGGCAAAAGTAGCTTTAACCTAATGCCAGGAGCTTTTGACTGAGGGTCGCTAATACTTTCATTCTCCTAACACTTTTTTTAAATTAAATTTCAATACTAAAAAAATAGAAACAAATTAAGAAACAAAATACTCACATTTCTGGAGGGAAAATTACTAGCATTAACTCTTCTTTATATTTGCAAGTCAGTTCAAATAATGTTTAAGGGCTATAAATTGGCAGTGAGTCAGGCTCTTTTCCTTCAACTCAAAATCTCCAAGTTATTAACTGCCCAATTGTTTGTTTATATTGTATTGTGGCAAGAGCTCATGGTCATTATGAAATGAAAAAAAGAATCAGTACAATGCCTTAATTTGTTTTTGCTGGAAGCTTAACATTTTTACTTCCAAAATGTCAGATAGTTTTTTAGAACGTGGTTAGCTAGGTTGTAAAGAAAACTTGGTCTGGTCTATTTTAACATAAGGAGATTGTCTGAAATAAAATGATCACTAATGACTCCAAAAGTCCTATGAGCCTTTGATTCTTCATCTTCTTCCTAGCTGTTAAATAACCTTGTCTTTAAACTGCATATGAGCTGACTTTTTGACTTGTTTTGTCCAGATTGGTTTCTTCTTTGAAAAATAAGTGTCATTTCTACTATTTTTTCCCTTTTAAAAAATGCAGAACTTCGAGATGAAATTGTATCTGTTCAGGAAGAAAAGAAGAAGCTAGCTATTGAGCTGGAAAATCTCAAGAGCAAACTTGTAGAAGTAATGGATGAAGTATGTATCTCAGGCCGAAAGGCTAAAACCTTTCAACTTTTAAACTAAAAGCTAGATTGAAAACTGACTAGCCGAGTTAAACATTTGCTGTTGGAATCTGATTTCTGCTGGGAAAGCCATCTACCAGTTTTCCTCTCCTCTCTCCTAGTTCAGACTAATAAAAAGGTACAGAAAATAGGATCATGAACAACAGGGACCCACTCTGCAGGTTAATAAATTAGGACATTAAATAGCATTGGCTGCTTCTTGTTCCCTACTACTACTGCTTTTGGTGAAGAAGGAAGCATTTTACTTCTCCACTGGCTGCTGGTGCAGAGGGGAAGGCTGACTCTCTGCACACTTCCTGCACAGCTATAGATGGTACAAGGAAGAGTGTGTTCAGTGAGGATTTGAAGAACCTTTTGTTTTCCTCCTGAATTGTCATCGAGAAAAGGGCCACACGATTACCTTTTATTTGTACCTACCTTCATAATCTCCATTCACTTTGCCTTCCTGGTTCTCAGAGTCTATAGCCCAGAGTTTCCCAGCCCTTGTATAGCTACCTTCAGTGGCCTGCAAGGGTGCCAGGCACTGGTCTTGTCACTTGAGTAGCTGCATCCTTCATTCCCACCTGCATGCCCATCTTCCCTGAAGGTGCCACATGAGAAGGTTGAGAGGCAGTGCCACCAGCCTCCCAGCCCCTGCTGCTTTCCCTTTGTTTTGCCAAAACCTTGTTCTTATAGGAAAGAGGGAGGTAGCCATCTTGGAAAGGGAGTTTCTTGGTGAACAGTGTATACCACTTCCTAATTTAAATCCCAAGCAAAATCAGTTCACAGCCTAGAGGTGAGGAAGGATTCAGAACCCCTGGCCAATTCATTATCTTAGTTCCTTCCTTCCTTCCTTCCTTCTCCTCCCTCCCTCCCCCTCCCCCCTCTTTCTTTGTCTTTTTTTTTTATTGTGAAAATACCATACAGAGAGGTTATAATTACATGGGCAAGGTAATGAGTACATTTCTTTTTTTGAGGGGGGGGGTCTGGTCGTGGGCCTGAACTCTGGGCCTGGGCGCTGTCCCTCGGCTCTTCGGCTCAAGGCTAGTGCTCTACCACTTGAGCCACAGCGCCACTTCCGGCTTTTTTTCTTTTTGCTTATGTGGTGCTGAGGAATCGAACCCAGGGCCTCATGCATGCAAGGCAAGCGCTCTACCCCTGAGCCACCTTCCCAGCCCATGAGTACATTTCTTATCAAGCACTGTTGCCTCCTCCTTTGTTTCCCCTTGCCTTCCTTCCCATCTCCCCCCCACCCCTCCAACCTCTTCCCCCCTCCTTTCTTTCTTTAGTTAGTCATGGGGCCTGAACTCTGGGCCTGGGTGCTGTCCCTGAGCTCTTCAGCTCAAGGCTAGTTTCTTCCACTTGAGCCATAGCGCTACTTCCAGCTTTTTCTGTTTACATGGTGCTGAGGAATCAAACCCAGGGCCTCATGCATGCAAAGCAAAGCACTCTACCATGGAGCCACCTTCCCAGCCTGATTTGATACTTTTGGGATGATCTCTAGCATTAAAAATAGACACTGAATGTCTAGAGTGTGAGTACTGTCCTGATGAGGGACAAATGCCATCCATCCAGAATATGGGAGTATGATCGGTATTCACCACACATCCCAACATAAGGAGCCACCCTGCCATCTAGAGAACGGCCAAGCCACCACTGTCTCCTTTGAGGCAGTGCCTCCTGTCACATTGTCATGTCACGTGGCTGGGAAACTAGACAGCCTTTTGAGCGTCGCACATTGCCATCTGTCCTGTTTCACCATTTTGGACGTTCTCTCTCTTCCACATCTTGCATTTCTAGGTAAATAAAGTTAAACAAGAGAAGGCTGCTTTAAATTCAGAAGTTCTTGAACAGAGAAAAGTCTTAGAAAAATGCAACAGAGGTATGTATGTCTTCCTGGTTTTTGTTCTCGAGCATGTACGTGATGTGTTTTCTGTATTTGTATATGGTGTCATTTTACACAGTGCTCTACAGATCCTCATAACCAGATTCTCCTCTCCTCGCTTGAGTCTCCCCAGCAGTGAATTCTTCTCATTCCTATTATTTTTGTCATTGGAGACACTTAAATGTGGTTTTCTTGAGTCCACTCATTTTGAAACTTCAAATAGAAAAACACTTCCTCTGTTCTATGTGTATCTGGGACCGTGGGCATTTTTGCTGTTCCTACAGTGTCAACTTATTTGACAGGTTCTTTAGTGAGTTAGGAAATCTAGGTTATTTAGTCAATCCAGAATTGATTAGGACATCTACAGAAGTACATGCGACATGATTACATTTTAAATGAAGAGGGTGTTTGGATGGAAAGGGGTCTATGGGAAAGGGCGAGAAGAGTTGGACATGCAACGTATACTTGCTCTGAGCTCTTGTACATTTCTTGTTTGTGTACCTGAAATCTATTTCTCAGCTATCTGCAGTCAGCACCATGAACAAACCCAGGGCAAAATTTGATAGTCATGGGGAAAGTCAGACCTGGCCTCATTGAAAGATGGAAGTGTTCATGATGTCTGCTTGCAGAGGGAACTGTATGACTTTGTCAACTGTGACCCATCATCAAGTCTCCTCCTGTGTAAGATGGGGAATGATGCCAAAGTGCAGTTCTGCAAAAGTTGTTCTAAGGGAGGGGGCTGTATTAGTCCATTTTCTGTTGCTATTATAAAATACCAGAGGCTAGCTGCTTGATAGAGAAGAAAAGGTTCAGAGATTCAAGAGCAGGCCATCAGTCTCTGGCTGTGGTGAGGCCTTCCTTGTTGAGGTCACACCGTGGTGGATGGCGTCACCACCGTGGCTGTGTGGGTATGCTAGAAAGACAGGAGGTCATTGCCTTTGGGGGGAGGGGGGCAGTCTTACACTTTTAATAACAAGCCCCTCTGGTGAGAACTCACTCACTCCATGGGTAATCCCTTCTGGGGCTGCTGACTGCACCTCCATTTACCTGATCACCCTGCAGTACACTCCCCTCTTAAAGGCCCCATCACCTCTTGGTCCCCCCACCGGGAACCAAATATTCAGCACATAACCTTGGAGAATAAACTGAATAACCTTGGAGAATAAACTGAAGCTCTGATACTAACAGGATATCCTTTATGACCCACAGGGCTTTCATTGTCTTTCATGGTAGTGCACTACCTTGGTGTCATTCCTTGCCTGAGTCTTTGTACTGAAAGGCGCTGTAATTGAGAGTGGAAAGTGGGTTAGGTTGTGGCGTTTCTTCAGGTCCTACCTTCTTTACAGATAGGAGGATTTGCTGTCCTGCTGCGGTGGGCTAGAACAGGGGGCTGTGGGGGTCAGTCATATGGCCCTTGCCTGCAGGGAGCCGAGGGGCTCTAGGGAGAGAGGATGTGTGTGAACAAATAAATACACTATAGGACCAACTTCATGTCTACAAAATCCAAGTCAGCGGGACCTGGTCATGTGACAATTCTCTTTTTATTACAGTGTTCTGGACATAGGAAAGAACGTCAATTATCTAGCCCAGGGCTTCAGACAGTCAGAGTCTTCATTGTTTTCTTTGCGAAATTTCTTTTTTTAAATAGGTTTGAAAATCATTTAGCTCTCAGGGCCCTATAATTCACATCCCAACCTACCACTTACATGACTTTACCTGAGTAAGACTCCTCGCCTTCCGTCTGAGGAGGCAGTAGATTTACAGAGTGCAGAGTTTGAAATTCTATGTCATTAAGCACCAAACCTGTCCTTAGTCAGTTAGGCTTGAAGTGCGCAGCAGAACAGTGAGTGAAAGCAGCCATTAAGGGGGCCTTGGAGAGATGTTATTGCTGTGACTCGGCTCAAGATTGAGGGGAGGCCAGGCCAGAAGCAGACAGAGGCTGTACCTTTGGAATCCCTATGGGTACCACAGCTCCCTCCTGCCTATCTATACCATTTCTTAACAGGGCGGGCCACCAAATGTCAAATGTAGCAAAAAATCACAAGTTGCTTTGATTGACAGGACCTTCATGTTGAAGGCTGATGTCCTCCAGTAATGCTTCAATGCCGAGCTCCATAATGTGGGCCTGAATGAAGCTAAGGCTATTAAAAATGATCAGTTCTTCAACCGGGTCCTCTTGGCTCATGCCTGTAATGCTAGCTACTCAGAAGGCTGAGATCTGAGCATTGTGGTTCAAAGCCAGCCCAGGCAGGAAAGTCTGTGAGACTTATCTCTAGTTAACCACCAGAAAACCAGAAGTGGCTCCGTGACTCAAGTGGTAGAGTGCTAGCCTTGAGCTAAAGAGCTCAGGGACAGCGCCCAGGCCCAGAGTTCAAGCCCCATGACTCACACACACACACAGAAATCAATTTTTCTTTCTATTTGTCTGCCTGTCTATGCACATACATACATATATGCACATGTATGTAGATATATGTGTGGGTATGGGTATATATATGTATATATTCTTTCTATTGGATAATTCAGTTTTGTTGGAAAATTTAAATTCATAGAGGAAAAGAAAAAATTTAACCTTTGTAATCTAAAGGTAAATACATTTGATGGATAGATAGATATACAGTGTATATTCTTCTAATAAAAAAAAAACCGGCATAAGCTGGGTACCTGTGGCTCATATCTATTATCGTTGCTACTCAGGAGGCTGAGATCTAAGGATTATGGTTCAAAACCAGCCTAGGCAAGAAAGTCTGTGACACTTATCTTCATTAATCACCAAAAAGCTGGAAGTGGAATTGTGGCAGAGCTCTGCTTGAGCAATAAATAAACTCAGAGATACAGCCCAGGTCCTGCATTCAAGCCACAGGGCTGGGGCACATGTATGCACACACACACACACACACACACACACACACATGTGTGTGTGTGTATACATATATATCCATATATATCCATATATATATATACATTTTTGTTATATATCTTCTAATGTATATGGAAGAAAAAGAACGCCAGCAAATGAAATCTGTATCTTTCTTCCAACATAGAAGCCCCTGAATGTCTCTTTATCCTCATACTCCATCCTTGAAGCTTTTATCATTTCCTTTCTCTTATTTGTAGTTTTGCCAAACATACATGTATCCTTAGACAGCACATTAATGAAGCATGCTTTTCACTTGATGGAAGTGCAGTGATTTTGCATATGACCTCTGTTACTGTTGGTGTTCGTGAGATTCATCTGTGTTGAAGGACGTAGCTGGGACATGTTTATTTTCACTAGTGCATAGTATTTCATGAGCTAACTATACCAAAATTCCAGTGTCTTATTGTCAGATAATGTCTCCAGTTATTTATTTATTTGCTTTTTGCCATTCTGAGTCATGCTGTTATGAAAAGTCTTCCACATTTTTTTCTGGAACATATGTCTAAGAGTTTTTCCACAGTGGGTGCCAAATGTCAAGTCTTACGTTCAGTTTCAATTATAAGTACATCTGCTAGTTTATACTCCTTTTATATTTTTATACTTATAATTGTTTTGTGTCCTCTTCCCACTTCATAAAAGCCACATTCTACCAGTGTTTTCATGTTTACCAATTCCTCCCTTCATGTATAAGGGGGCTTTGTTTACTTTGCATTTCACAAGTTCTAACACAGGTGAAAATCTTTCCTCATGTCTGCCCTGTGCCTCCTCCCCTGTGAAATGCTTTTGAGGTCTCTCATCTGTGACTTTAAAAACAAAAATGAATTCATTTTGCACTAATTATTTACTACTTAAAATACATCACAAGTCTCTTTCCTTTCCATTCCTGTGTTCATTACAATACAATTTTGATGAAAGAGTCATTTTTTTTGTAGTACAGTTTAATTGATGCTTGGATATTAGGAGATTCCAGTGTTTTTGGCGATGATATGAACATTTTTGCAAACAAATCTGTGTGTGTGTGCTTAGGATTTTTTTGTGTGTGGAGGGGGCAGTACTGAGTTTTAAATTCATAGCTTTACACTGCAAGGCAGATACTCTCCTGCTTTTAGCCACACTTCCAGCCCTTTGGGTTCTGGTTGTTTTTGAGATAGGGTCTCACATTTTTCCCATGGCCAGCCTGGACCCCAATCTTCTATTTACCTTTGCTACCATACCTAGTATGATAAGTGGGTTTCACCACACCCAGCTGTTGGTTGTGATAGGTCTTGCAAGATTTTTTTTTTTTTTTGCTTGGACCACTATGGAACAACAATCCTGATCTCAGCCTCCCAAGTCTCTGGTACAAGTCTTCACACTCAACTGTGGGTGAGAAAGAGGTCTTGTAACCTTTTGGCCTGGGCTGGTCTTGAACTGTGATTCTCCCAATCTCTACCCTAAGTAGATAGCATTACAGATATAAGCACCTTTTAGGAGAGGGATTTCTAGAAGTAGAATTGTTGAGTCAAAGAGTATAAATAGTGTTTGTTTATTTTAATCTTGCTAGTACTAGGGCTTGAACTCAGGGCCTAGGCACTGTCCCTTAGTCCCCCCACCCCCAAAGGCTAGTATTCTACCCCTTATACCACAGCTACACTTTCACTTTTTGATGATTCATTGGAGATAAATCTCAATACTACCTGAGATGTCTTTGGACCACAATCCTCAGATCTCAGTCTTCTGAGTAGTTAGGATTGCAGGAACCTGGCTAGCTTTTGGTTTTTGATTGACATTGCCAACATGTCTTCCAGATAGCTTTTTATCAACTTATACTCCAAGTAGGATTGAAGGAGGTAAGTAGCCTGCTGGGCTATGTGGGCTTCCTTCCAGACTTTTGTACTCGTGTTCTGATCATCTGTGCTGCATACTGCCTCTTGTTTTTCCCTCCTGTATTGAAGTGTCCATGTTAGCTGTGGAAGAGTATGAGGAGATGCAGGTGAACCTGGAACTGGAGAAAGACCTTCGGAAGAAAGCCGAGTCATTTGCACAAGAGGTGGGTGTGTTGTAAATACCTCATCTCTCTTTTTTTAAAGAGGCTCTGCAGGTAACATGGGGGGGAAAGGTACATTGTCAGATAGGAGGAATAGAGCTCTTGTGTCCTACAGCAGAGTAAGGGAATTGAAATTACAGTAATTACTGTATGTTTTGTAAAGAACTCAGAGATAGGCTTTTTATTTTGTCAGTTGTGGGGCTTGAACTCTGGGCCTGGGTGCTGTCCCTCAGCAATTCAGCTCAAGGCTAGCACTCTACCACTGAGCCATATAGCCACTTCTGGTTTTTAGTGATTTATTAGAGATAAGAGTCTCATGGACTTTTCCTGCCCAGGCTGGCTTTGAACCATGATCCTCAGATCTCAACCTCCTGAGTAGCTAGGATTACAGGCGTGAGCCACTGGTGCCCGACTAAGATAGGCATTTTGAAGGTAACCCAAATAGTAAATGTTGAAGGAGATGGAAATGTACTTATCCTGATTTGATCACTATACATTATATACATGAATCAAATTATCATAGTATACATCATAACTGCATGATTATTATGTCAGTTAAAAAAATAAAAACCCCCTTTTTGAGGCTGCTTGATAATTTACCACTTTAATGAAGACCCACCTGAATGCGGGAGGCAGCTGTGCTGGGTTTGGAATTTTGGTCATGTTGGATGTTGGTTCTGTGACCATCCCCCCTCTCCCCCCAAAAGCTGGCTTTAACCTCTTGGGACTTGTCACTGTAATATTGGTGCTGCTACAAATTGAACAGAGTTGATTTTGGAATCAAATGGAGCAATTAAAACATTTCATAAATAATCAAATACTCTGTATGGAAAAGGAGTTGCCTTTAGAGATAGCCATAAGTTGTGGTGAAAGTCAGCTGGAAGACAGGACATCTCTTGGTTACAGATAACTTTGAGAATCAGACCACATCTCCATGTGTCGTCTCAGATCACAGTGAGGTGGGATCAGCCATTGTCTGCTGTTCTCATTCAAGCTGCTTCTTCCACTGCTTGTGGAACACGGCCATGTTGTACAGCCATTGTGTCAGCCTTTCATCCATGTAATCATTTCCCTCTGCTGCTCTAGATAAGCCTTGAGCTCCTCTACTTACACCTGACCTTGTTGGTATGTGCAGTTGGGTATTCTGTGGCTTGGAGCTGCCCTGCAATGGGAGCTCCACCCTGCATAAATACTTTGAATCGGTCCCTCATATGGGTTGCAGGAAGTAGCTGAGGAAATGTGGAGTATGTAGGTAGTCATAGGGAAAAGTATCCAAGACACAGAAAGAAGATATGGGGGTAATAGAAATGACATTTGACAATCAGATTATGGTTTTGTGGAAGGGGGGGGGAGCCTTTCTGTGCTTGAGTGTGCTAGCAGTGTTCACTATGCTAGCAGTGAACTCTCCAGAAGGTTTAGTCCAAGTGCATCTGATTTGAAATATCATGACCCATTTTATTCAAGGGAGTTTAATGAGAAGTGAGTGAATGCTGTTCTCATTTTACTTGTAAGAAAGGAAAAAGAATCCAAGTGTGTCAAGCACTCTGTTGGGAGCGGCAGCAATATAAACAATGTGACTGCATGCACAGTGCCAGGAGAGGGAGGTCTGGTAAACAGAAGGGTAGGGATAAAGCAAAGGCCCCTCCATTGCAAAATTAAACAGATCCGCTAAGCTTGACCCGAATGCCAGGGTGTTATCTCAAGACATTTGCAATCTCCCATATGCTGTTATTTCAATGACGTTAGACTACAAAACAGCTCGAAGAAAATCTTGAAGGCCGTGCTATAGCTGAGAAGACAGATGGGAGAAGCAAGATTCCAGGAAGAGGGTCAGAAATGGAGTGATTTCCTCAGCCATTCACCTGTAGTGTGTTAAGCCTTGGGGATGGGTGGTGACAGTGAGACGGGCCATCAGGCCAACCCAGCGCAGGAGGCAGGAGGTAGGTCGGTGGCTGAGGCGGGAAGGCTTATGTTACTGCTAGCATAGACATTTACAGTGGTGCCTGATACTTTTACAGTGTCTAGCTTTGGTCTACAAAATAATGAAAAGAAAGCTTTTTAAAATAATAGCACTCAATGGGAACAAGTATGGTTTCCCTTTCCCGTAGATTGCAGATTCTCAGATTTGCAACATGGTGCACTCACTTTGTTCATGGCTAGCACTCTTAACCACTGGAGCCATACCTCCAGCCCAACGTTTTGCTGGTTAATTGGAATAGAATTACAGGTTTAAGCCACTGTACTTAACATTTTTAATTGCAAAAGGAATACATGTATATGCATATATACATATGTATGTATATAAACACATACATTTGGAAAAAAATATAACCGGTTCTCAAGTATGTTAAGAAACAGTTGAAAGTTTTTCCACTTCTACTAATATACTCATTTAAAATAGAACAAAGAACTCAATCTTCCACAAGAAAAAAATTAAATTGTCTTCAGAACTATATTATTTTTAAAATTTCCCTAACATACTCCCAATTTTTAATATAATGTTCTTATACTTTTTAATGTATTTATCTTGCTACTCAGTATGGTGTTTCTTTTTAAAGATATAGATGCTTTAATATGTATTCCCAGTAACCTATAAAACTATTATGCAAATGTTTTTTTCCCTTCTGTATAAGTCAGCTAATAGTGGAGTGTTATTTTGTAAACAGTGAATTATACATTAGCAACCTAAGATCTTTCTTCTCCACTCTTTGCAAAGATTTGTGAAATTTCTCAGAAATTCTGGTGCCTGCGGGTATCGTTGTCAGATTAGAGACCCACTTCCTATCTGTACCTCATGAACTCAAAGCCAAGTTCCTTCGTGTTTGGTGAATAAATTTTCTTGAGATTTTTTTTTTAGAAGAGTAGTTATTTAGACTTTTTTTTAAAAAATATTTTTTATTAGCATCTGTTAGTGGGATGGGGGGGTTCATGTGATACTTCTTTCATGCATATGAGATACTCCATCAAACTCACCACCTCTACTGCTCCCCCAGGATTCATTGTTCTATTTACATATATGCAAATAAGGCACTTGGACAGCATTCCCTCATTCATCCTTTGTATTGCCACCCCCCCTTCCTGTTGGTAACCCTTACCACACAGCAGCTATTTTTCTTGTCATTCATTTTTTTCATCATTGGGAAATGTATATTAATTATACAAAGGAGTTACACCATGGTATTTCACATATTTGCATATTATTCTTTATTCAAATTGTTTATATTTTAGTCAGATTTAGAGATTTTGTGTGTGTATGTGTGTGCTCGTGTATGCGTGTGTGTACCTACACTGGGGCTTGAACTTAAGGCCTCTAGCTCTTGCTCAGCATTTTTCAGTCACAGTGGGGGGCCCCTACTACTTGAACCTTTGCCTCCATTTCAGGCTTTTTGATAGTTACTTCGCACTAACGGTCTCTCATATTTGTCACCTCAGCTGGCTTGGAACAGTGATTCTCAGATCTTAGCCTCTTGAGTAGTTAGGATTATAGATAGGAGCCACTAGGGCCTAGCTTATATATTTTATATATAATTTTATTTTTAATTTTAATATCTTGAGGTTTAGAAATCTAAAGACAATAGAATGGATATTATTTTCTTTTAAATTAGGACTTTTACTTAAAGGAAGACTTCCATTTGTATATTTATATACTTCCCCTTGTAATATTATTATAAGGGATTTTGCAAAAGAAATTCACACGATTAATATTTCTAAGATGTGATGTCATATAGTTTGACTCTTGTCTCCAAAACGATACAGACGAAGTAATTTGTAATTGATGTTGAGCAAGTGCTTGTGGAAAACTTCCCTTTTCTCACAAGAAGGAAGCAAAACCCAAGGATTCATCTCTGCACCTCTCTCCTGCAGAAGCGAGGGTGGAGTAAAGGAAGAATGTGGGCTTCTTGGACCACACAAAATGGTCCATGGGAGTTGGGCACTGGTAGCTCACACCTATAATTCTAACTACTCAAGAGGCAGAGATCTGAGGATTGTGGTTCAAAACCAGCCCAGGAAGGAAAGTCCACGAGACTATCTCTAATTAACCACCAGAAAACCGGAAGTATTGCTGTGGCTCAAAGTGATAGAGTTCTAGCCTTGAGCAAAAGCGCTCAGGGACAGAACCCAGGCCCTGAATTCAAGCCTCACAACCAACCCTCCCCCCTCCAAAAACAAAACTGTCTATGGGCCTGTGTGAATTTGCAGTGGGTTTAGTTTGTTTTTTTTTTTGCAGAACACATTCAGTTGAGTAGGCTTTTCATAAATCCCTAAACAGGCAAGGACTGAGTGCTCCTGCCGATTTTCCCCTTCCTAAGACAGTGTACTGGACAGGAAACGAGAGGGTCTCGCTTTATTGTATTCATAATTTTTGACTTGAAAATCAACACTGGCAAAGGATCAAGCTTGAGGATTGTCTAAATCATTCAAGCTCTCGTCTTAATACATGAAGGTGGTTAAAATATTTTTTTGTCTCAGATTTCACTTACTGACTTTTTCTGTTCCCTGATGGGTAGAATTACTGAACAAACTGATATATGCTGTACAGCAAGTTGTTTTTCCATACAGATCTTATGCCAGACTGTGTTCTTTTCAATGCTGTTAAGAATCTGAAAATGGGAAGTTCTGCTGTTCAGAAATTGTAGAGTGGGAAAATGTTTCAGAGATTGCCAGACATTTCATGCTTGGAATCACCTGCTGGTTTACTATAGTATAGTGTAAACAACAACAACAAAAAAAAAGAAATAAGAAATGAATAGAGAGAGTTATTGGAGCTGGGTGCTCGTGGCTCACTCCTATTATCTTAACTGCTCAACAGGGTGAGACCTGGAGGGTGGTGGTTCAAAGGCAGCCTGGGCAGAAAGTTTTGTGAGACTCCCATCTGCAGTTTACCAGCAAAATGTCAGACTGGAGGTGTAGCTCAAGCGGTAGATTGCCAGCTTTGAGCAAGAAAGCAGATTGAGAGGGTTCAGTCCTAAGTTCAAACCCTGGTACTGACACAAAAGAAAAAAAAAAGCATGTTGATTTTGGTCATGTCAAAATGTGAGAATTGGATGAATAGTATGTATTGCTTAATAAATTGCTCTGTGTATACAAGCATACTTCCAGCCTTCTCGGCATTCCTCTTCTGTGAACAACTTTTGTCACTGAGTGAAAATAATTGGTTTAAAACTAAACAGGAAGTCTAATAAATAGCAGGGGATATTATTCAGGATGCTAAGAATATTGGCTTGTAAATCAGACAGACCTAGTTTTAAATCCTGATTTTTACCGTTTATATGTATCTTTGGGAAAGTTGTTCATCCCCTCTGAGCCTATTTCAGTATCAGTAATAGTATCCCCTTGGCAAAATGGTTCCAAATACAGATATTATTGTGAATATAAGATTATCTCTGCTGCATTTATCATAGTGTTTAGTAAATGTTACCTATTCATGATACTCGTTAACTCATGTTTGGTTAAAGCAATGCATATAGAACCATGAGTAGAATTCCTGGCATAAGGTAAAATTTTGGCGCCTTAGCTACTATGTTAAATAGTGATAATATTAAAAACTGAAATCTAAGATTCGTTTATTCTATAAACACCTCCTTTGGGGCAGGGCTAAGGCACTGAAGGTTAGGAATATCATAATAAGAACTCCACAGCCTGCCCTTGGCTCTGTTACAGATTGGGGAATAGTGGGATTGAGTGGAGATCTATGGGTTTTTTTTTCTTTTTTTGTTCTAATTTTTTATTGTGAAAATACCGTAAGATCTATGTTTTTGTAATGAATTTTTGCAGATGTTCATTGAGCAAAACAAGCTGAAGAGACAAAGCCGCCTGCTGTTGCAGAGCTCCGTCCCTGACCAGCAGCTTGTGCAAGCGCTAGATGAAAACGCAAAACTCGTCCAGCAGCTTGAAGAGGAAAGAATTCAGCATCAGCAAAAGGTAACAGATTTCATGCTGGAGTTATAGAGACACACTTGTTTTAAAATGAGAGGCATCGGTCCATATCTTGTGTCTTATTAATTTCTTCTAAGCAACTTTCAGAAAAAGAAAGCTACCAAGGGAATTTAGTGTATTGCCCAACTAAAATTTCTAGCATACTTTTGTAGACTTTATAATAACCTTGAAACTGGTCATTGAAGAGAGATCTTAGCAAAACAGGGTAAAGATACATGATTCAAAAATGAGATAAAATGGATGGAACTAGATTATAGGTGCCTTGCACCTATAATCCTAACTAGTCAGGATGCTGAGAGCTGAGCCTTGTAGTTTGAAACCAGCCTGGGTGGACAAACCTATGAGATTCTTACCTCCAGTTAAACCACCAAAAAGGCTGAAATGGGAGGTGAATGAGAACACAACGTCCTAAGTTCAAGCACCAATCCCAGTGCATGCATGTGTGTGCACATGTGCGTGTGCACACACACACACACGCTCACACACACGCAGTGATGATGATGATGATGATATATGAGTGCAAAAAGTAGCATTCAATGGGACAGGTAGGGAAAAGGAGGATAATGGAAGATGTAGACGTATGTTACTTTTACACGCACACAGAAATATAGCATAATGAAATCCATCAAATACTGTTTGAAAAGGGAGAGTTAGAAAGAATGTGTTAATATTGCACTGTATCCCTCTGTAGAATCATCACCTTGAAATCCCCCTGCCGTATTAATTCATGCTAATATTTTTAAAGAAAGGACCACAAAAACTTTCTTTTATAAATGTAGTGTGGAAATAGGCTTTTTGGGAAGACATGTGTTTTTTGGAGAGCTTGTTGGAGGCCATAGGTCTTACTCCAAGAAGAAAGGACAGAAAAGTTACAGCATGCAGAAAAAGTTAAAGAAACTTAAGATTATTTAAGAATCCCACACTTTGGTGTATGTCTAAATTATGCATATATATAATTTCATGAGTATATAGTCTGCTTAGATGGAATTGTACCACATACTATTCTATAACCTTTTCAATTGGCAAAATATATCTTCTCATGCTAAGGTATGTGATTTTAAATGGTTGTCTAGAATTTCATTTAATGAACATTATAGTTCATCAAGTCTATAATATTGGTAGGTATTTAGGCTATTTCCAGCTATTTACTATTATAATTAGTGAATATATTTGCACATTTGTCTGAATTTTTTTTCTTCAGTGCTAGAGAATGAACCCTGTACATGTTAGACAAGTGCTCTACCACTGAGCCACAATCCCAACCCCTGTCTGAATCTAAACAGAACAAAACAATTTTCTAACAAGGGTATTACTGGAGCAGAGTCTTTCCCTCTTTTTTTTTTTGAAGATTTTTGGTACTTTTTAGCAAATTATAATTGTAGTTCACCAAGCGTCTTTAAAAATGAAAATGGATGCAGAAGTATTAATCTGGTGTGTGTGTGTGTGTGTGTGTTTGTGTGCTGGTGTGTGTGTGTGTGTGTGTGTGTGTGTGTGTGTG